TACGTGGTGAGTAGGGTTTCTTTGTCGGCTCCCCAAGTGCTGCCGGCTAGTGACTTGAGGACTTTGTTCCTAGCTCGCATCCTTTCGCAGGTGGCTGAGGCGTGCGCAGAAAAGGAGAATAGGCTGTCGAACGTGACTCCCAGGATTTTTGGGTGGTTGACCGTCGGTATTTTGTTGCCATCGACGTAAACGTCCAGCTTTTGGCCAAATTCCCNTACACGTCCAGCTCTAGCCTAACTTCCTTTGTCCAGGTGGTGAACAGTGTGGCGGTGGATTTCGCGGCGGAGATGGTGAGGCTCCTGGCAGTGAAGAAATTTGCAAGATCGGTGAGATAGTCGCTGATTTTCCCGCATAGGCTGTCAATATTGGGGCCCGTCGCCATAATCGTGCAATCATCGGCGTAGCTCACCAAGTTAACTCCTGCTGGCGGCGGAGGGAGTTTCGCCATGTAGAGGTTGAACAGTGTCGGGGAGAGTACGCCGCCTTGGGGGACCCCCTGTTTAATCCTACGCGGCTTGGACTTGGCGTTTCGGAATTCGACCGATGATTGACGTTCACACAGATAGCTGGTTATGCACCGCTTCGTCCGATCCGCAAGCGACGAGTCCAGGACGTCTTGGCAGAGGGTCGCGTGGTTTACCGTGTCGAAGGCCTTCGACAGGTCCACCGCGACTAGGANTGCATTTTGCGGAATCCGTGTTGGTGTTGGGCTAGTTGCAGATGCTTCGTTAGACTGGGGAGGAGTAGTGCTTCCATTGTCTTTGCCACTGGGGATAGGAGGGAGATTGGCCGGTAAGAGTCTCCTGCGTCCGCCTTCTTACCTGGCTTAATGAGGGGGATGATCCTACCCATTTTCCACATCTCAGGGATGATCAGGGTGGACAGTGACAAATTGAAAGCTGCTGTGATGTACTCGACTCCCACTAGTCCTAGCTTTTTCAGCATCTGCATCGAGATTCTGTCGGGGCCTAACGCCTTGGATGCTTTGGCGTTCTTTACAGCTGCCTGCGTCTCTTCTGGTGTAAAGCACGTTGGTGTGTCTCGGGGGCGGAGTTTGTGTGCTTTACGTAGCACACTGCGGCGGGCTTTGTCTCTCTCCGGGTGTGCAATAAACTGCCGGCTGAAAAAGCGCGCGCACGTCCGTGGGTCCGACGTGGTGGTATCGCCGAATGTAAGGGCAACGTTGTCCTTGCGTTTCGCCGGATGGGAGAGAGATTTTACTGTCGTCCACAGTTTGCTAGCTCCGCTGGTGAGATTGCAGGTCTTGAGGTGCTCATTCCACGTTTTCCGCTTGTGTTCGTTAACCAGTTTGTTAATGTCCTTGTTGAGATCCCTGATACGGGGATCACCAGGATTAGACTGGCGGATTCGATCACGCTCGTCTGCGAGTCCCGCCGCTTCAGCTGGAAAGCCCGGGCGGATTTTGGCAATCCTACCGGCTGGTATGAAGCGGGCGGCTGCTGCGTTGATGATCCGGCGGATGTTGCGCTCAGCTTCGCGCGCGCATGTTGGTGGTGGAAGAGCATTGAATTTGCGGTCTGTGTGTTCCGTAAAACCGTCCCAGTTGGCCTTCTTGGTGTTCATATACGTACGGTCTTCGGATGTGACAAAATCTCTTGGGTGGTCTATCGCGACTACTATGGGCAGGTGGTCTGATGCGAGCGTGAGCACTGGTTGCCAACCAATGCAATTTATCAGACCCCCGCTTGCTATAGTGATATCTGGCGAGCTGTAGCAGTCACCCGCGACCCTGGTGGGGGCATCGTCGTTTACAGTGCAAAACGTTGAGTCGTCAATTTGTTCTGCGATTAGTGTACCCCGCTGGTCGTTGCCCAGGTTGGAGTGCCAGAGTTCGTGGTGCGCGTTAAAATCCCCTAGCACTACCCGGTTTTCGCCTTCGAGTAGCGCACTTATGTTCGGGCGATACCCTGCTGGGCAGCTGGTGGCAGGTGGTATGTACACGTTGACGACTTCCAGCTCAGTATCTCCCGACTTGATTGCCATGCCTTGGTGCTCAATGAGTGTGTCGTTGGCGGCGATTCGGGGGGTAATGAGCCGGTATTGGATCGCGTTGTGCAATATAAAGGCGATGCCGCCTCCGGCGCCGCGAGGGCGGTCTCTTCGGATGACGTTGAACTCATCCTGACTCTGAAGGCTAGAGCCGGAGTGGAGTTTGGTTTCCTGGACCGCCGCGACTGAGATTTTGTTGCGCCTCATGAAGCTGACTATCTCAGCGATCTTGCTTTGTAGTCCGTTGCAATTGAACTGCAATAGTTTGATGGAGTTGGGCCTGGTGATGGTAATTCGCGGGGTGAGGGAGTACTGGCGCGCTGCCTGAACTGCTTGCTGTGCCTGTTGTGTTTGTTGCGGGTGTGGTGGTCCGACCGCTGGTGTTGTCACCGGTGTTGGTGCCGGTGTGGTTGTGACCGTGGGCCGCGGTTGTGGGATTGCCGCTGGCGTTGGCATTGGCACAGATGTAGGTGCAGGCGATTGGGGTTGTGTGGTAGCAGCGCAGCAGGCTGCAGTGATAGCAGCACTCCATTCGCGATGGTGTATGAGGCCGGAGCAGCGTTTCAGGTGGCACCAGTTGTTGCATGCGTTGCATCTTACTGATGTGGTGTTTCGCCTTATCAGGTTCTGGCAGACGCTGCAGTACCATCTGCTTTGAGTGGATGTCCGGTGTTGTATGCTGGGAGTTGGTCCACTGGCTGTTGGTTGGGCGGGCGCTGTTTGTGTGGAATGCTGGGCTTGCTGTGGATTGTTGCAGCACGATGCAACAAAGTTAGCACTCCACTCCCTATGGTGCCGGAGGCCTGAGCATGCTTTCAGATGACACCAGTTATTGCAGCTGTTACAACGGACTGAGGTGGATGAGTGGTGTAAATTTTGGTTGCAGACACTGCATGTCCATGGTCCGGGGTTTTGTTCTATGCCGGCGCGGACCAGTAGTATGCGGAGCAGACTTGCCGGTAGGTCATGCTCCCAGTGCGAAAAAATGGGGGGGGTGCTGCTGGGGTAATGGTCCTTGGTCGGAGTGGGTGCTCCGAGTCAATCCGGTAACGTAGAACCGACCATCTTGGGATTAATCGCATTGATTTGTTTTGCTGTATTTGTAGTCTCTTAATTTGTATATCACTTGCTAACAGTATTATTGTTGGGCAGTATAAACTTATTATTATTATTATTATTTCTTTATTTAGCCTTAGCTATTTTTAAACTTTCAGGTACATTTTTACATATACATAGCTTCAATACTCTCTTATAGACNCTTCAATACTATCTTATAGACTTATTGCGAATTAAAATATGGTTTCTTTAACGTAATCTATTATCAGTCTTCTAAATGCAATGATGTTTTTTTCATTCTTTATATTACTAGGCAGTTCATTAAATAGTTTCAGCCCTTTATACACTATAAAGTGGGGTTCAGTAATCGATCGATATACCAATATTTTGTAATGTTGATTAATATGTTTGCAAGTTCTATACATAAAGCCTATTTTCATTGCAATTTTGTTTTCTAAGTAACATATATGTTCTCCAAAATTTAGTGTTTCATCGATTATCACTCCCAAATACTTAATTTTATCTACTCTTTGAATTTCATAGTTTTTTATTTTCAGACTTATATCGCTTAAATCATTTTTACTTATAATCAGGGAACGGATTTTATGGAAATTGCCTTTTTTCTGCTAACGAGATAGAGCATATTCGATTAAGAATGTCCATGATTTAGCTTTCTCTGATTCCATATATACACATTTGATGTTGCCTTTTTTTGCCTTTTTTAAGATATTTGCCTTTTTTTTGCCTTTTTTAGGATATTTGCCTTTTTTGCCTTTTCTACCTTTAAAAAAATGATTATAGCATTTACAATTTTATTTTTAAGATTAAAAAATATACACATTGCCCATGCGGCTTATAGAAGCGCAGAGACCTCTTGCCAAATTGGTGTTGGAAAAATTCAAAGCCGTTTTCTCAGCTAACGAAGGCTTGGAGACAATAAGGGGTGTGGATAAAATTGTAAAGGGCGAGGAAAACGCCCTTATTCCTGATAATATGAACGTTTCAAACGTTCCATATTTAAATTGGGCTCCACTTCTATCAACTTACGTCGAGCGCACATTTAGTACATTCAAGGCTTTTCTTCGCGAAAATCGAATGAAAATGATGCCAGAAAACTTCAAAATGCATCTTGTGGTTCAATGTTACTACAACTATTCAGATTAAAGTTTTATGAGTTAGAAACTCGAAAGGATAAAATAGTCAAAGATTCAAAGTACAAATTTTCCATATAATGAAACTAGTTCATAGTTTTTCTCTTTTTACTTGTAATATAAACATTTCTAAAATAAATGTTTTTCTTTGATTGTTCTTCGTATTTTCTGTCTTTTTTTAGTGCCTTTTTCTGCCTTTTTCGCTATTTTGTTTTGCCTTTTTTTGCCTTTTTTGCAACACCTAGTGCCTTTTCCTGCCTTTTTCACTATTTTATTTTGCCTTTTCCAGCCTATTTCGTTATTTTATTTTGCCTTTTTTATAGGTTTTTAAGTCCCAAAAATCCGTTCCCTGCTTATAATGTTGTGGTTCTTGCAAATTATCATATACTTAGTTTTATCTACGTTCAGTTTCAGCTTTCTATGGCATAACCATTTATACAAAGAATTTAAATCTTCTTGCATTTTCGTAATAGCACTATTTACATTTTTCCACTAATGCTAACCAATGCGTCATCCGCAAACAGACGTATTTTACAATTTTTCAAAACATGCTTTAATATCATTAATATTAATATAAATTATAAATAAGATTGGTGCCAATACTGAGCCTTGCGGTAGACCAATTTTTACATCAGTAACCGATGATACTGCATCTCCAATTATCGTCCTCTGCTTTCTGTTGCTCAAATAACTTCGAAACCATTCCAACGCTTTCCCTCTGATACCAATTTTATACATGACGCCCAGCAGTATATCTCTATCAACTGTTTCAAAAGCCCGCTTCAAGTCTAAAAACCCAGCCACCACCACCTTTTTGTCAGCTACATCATCTTTCCATTCCCCAATTACCATGTTCAGTGCTGTTTCACACGAATGACTCTTTCTGAACCCTGATTGTTCCGGTATGATTACATTTTGTTTTTCTAAGAATGCTACTAGTTGGTTTTTTACCACTGTTTCCATAATTTTTTCATCTGCGGGTAAAGTGTTA